CATAAACCTAGCAGATGTGTGGCAGTTCTTTGTCCTCGGCGGAATCTACAATGTTCCATTTCACAACTGAGTTGTACCTTTACAGGAATCTTTAAAGTGGTTGATGCCATGATAGCTTGTAACTGTCTGACCAATACCCACAAGAGTGTATCCAGACAATTATGATGAGACAAGAAGATGTACATTCTGGTCAGGTGTGGTGGCACACGTTTGTAATCCCAGCAACAGAGTGGCAGAGGCAGGAGGATTGCCATGAGTTCAAGGCCAGCCTGTACTGCGTAGTGAGTTCAAGGCTAGTTTGAACTACATAGTGAGAACCTGTCTCAAATAAACGACTTTTAGATTCTTTTTTATCCCTTTGGCTCCGCTCATCAAGAAAAGGGCAATCATAATACAGAAAGGAGGTTTGTTGCCTCTAACATCTGTGGCAAGTTAAAGGCATGATACAGCTAGGAACTGGTAGGCGTGGAGAGCCAAGAGCAGCCAGGGCACAGCTTGCTCCCTCACCAGTGGAAAGATCAAACTGGAAAGGAAGACTGAGGTGAGTCTGGGTTCCTGTTACAGGAGGATCAACTCAGACTGTATTATAGTTAACTGTTTTGACTTGAGTAACAAACACCCAATTTGGGGCCAGGGAGATAGCTCAGCAGCTTAAGCACCTGCATGGCAAGTGCCAGGTCCCAAGTTCAATCCCTGGTATGAGAGAGAGAGAGAGAGAGAGAGAGAGAGAGAGAGAGAGAGAGAGAGGCAGAGAGAGAGACAGAGACAGACAGAGAGACAGAGAGAGACAGAGAGAGACGATACACCTAATTGGTTCACCATAGTGGCTGGGAAGATATACTGAAGACCAAAGACCAAAGACCCATCCTTTGGTGGCTTGTCATCTAAATGGTAAAAAGGGGAAATGAAGAAGGATGGCTCAGCCTTCACCTTGAACATCCTCTTCAGCCTTCCATTGCGGACTCTTCAGCCTCCTGATATAGACTTGCATGGGACACTACAGAGAGCGCCAGACCTTACGTTGGACTCTTCTGATCTCTAGAGTGTAGAGAGAGCTTTAGCACCCTTCCACATATGACTGCAGGCAACTATTATATACTCATTTTGTAAATTCTTTTATATTTGTATGTCTTGCATTAAATGTTTTTCTTATAAGCCTGCATCAGTGAAATCTATTCCCCAAATCTTATAGATTGCTGGTAATACTAAATTATTATTTTTTTTTTTGCTAAATGATTTTTAACTGGCTAACAGGATCCTCATATTGTCTTGAGTAGAAAGCCACAAAGTGGAATTAAAGAGTGTAGACTTTACTTACCTCTTCTGGGACCCTGGGGAAAAAAATGAAACATGTTATCAGAATGTCAGAGTCATGTCCCATGGTGACAAAGAATGAAATCATGGCTGGAGGAGGCAGAGTGTAAGCAAATTTATTTGAAAGATATAAAGGTTAGGATGTTGAGCTCCTGCTAGTGAGAAGGAAATCCCAAATAGAATATCAAAGGTTCTTTGACTATGAGGTGTTTTTTTTTTTTTTTTTTTTTTTTTTGCGGTACCAGGGATTGAACTCAGGACCTTGCATTTGCAGGCAAGCACTTATTCTACTGAGCTATCTCCCCAGTCCTTGCCTATGAGTTTTTAAGGGGTTTAAAAGAGAGGCTGGGCCATTGTGTCAGCAATATGACCTCTACCCTATAGGAGACTACACACTTTTCAGGTCTTATCTATACAATGTTTATATAGTCCCTGTGCATGGCCCCTGTGTCCTTGAGCCAGTGGCCTATCTGGTCATGCTCTAGAAGTTCCATGGCAATGCTGGATACCTGACAGATATTTTTGTAAGCTCTCTGGAGTGTGTTGAACCAGAAGACTTCGGTTTGGCCTTCTGACTCAATTTTGGAGCTGCTGTACTTACTACCTAACAGAATCTTAACTTTTGTCTCAATTCATAGTAAAAAATAGCCTTTAAGTCTAAACAATACAAGAAAGAAAGAAAAACACAAATCCTGCTTTTAATGAGCAGCAGGTCAGGGCCCAGGAGTCTGCCTGTCTGCCTGTTTCCCCATCCCTATGGTGGTCCCTGATGATGTCATGAGTGGCATCACTAACATTCAATTTTTAGGACTTTTAACGTAGTATGTTAAATAATAGTAATAGCAGCAGCACATTGTAAAATATGCTTCTGAGTCCTTGGGTAATATTTTAAAGGGTTTTTCTTTGCTTTTTGGGAGAAGGTTCTGAAAGACTTGATATTCAAACTGCTAAAATATAATTCTTTAAAAATAATATAATATATTTCTTTTGTGCTACTGGAGATTGAATCTAGGGCCTTCACACTGAGTTACATCTCCAGCCTTTCATTTTATTTTATTTTACTTTATTTTTCAGTTTGAGACAGGGCCTATGTTCTTAAGTTTTCAAACTCATAGGCTGAGTTTGAAATTGTGATCCTTCTGCTTCATTGTTCCACAGCACTGGCATTAAATGTGTATATTACCAATCCCTGCTAAAATTTTAATAACTAAATAATGCTTTGTACATGATAAGAGCATTCAAAATTTTATTGTAAAAATAGTATAACAACATGAAATAAAAACATTGAAAAACACCATTCATAATCCCACCACTTTAACAAATACTCTCATTTCTCTATATTTCCTTACAAACATCCACATACCTAATACATATAAGCAGGGGACACTCAACTTGGTATTCGGCACCAGAATATGAAAATGATTCTTGAAAAAAATGGATGGTAGGATCACTCATAATTTATTTAAATAACCTTAAAGCTTTTGTTTTGCAGTGCTAGGGGATTGATCCCAGGGCCTCATGCATGCTAGTCAAGAGCTCTACCAGTTAGGCTATCCCCAGTCCTATGGGTTATAAATTCTCAACCTAAACACCAGAGAATGAGGATGTCTAGCACTTCCTACTACTGCAGCAAAAACACCAGAATACTCTATGGCAGTGGTGGTGAACCTTTTAGAGATCCAGTGTCCAAGCTGCAACCCCTGATCCACTTATTTTTCACAAAGTGCCAACACTGTGATTAAATTCGAGTACTATAGTTTTAGTTTAGAAAAAGCAATGCATACAATGTGTAGGAGAGCAGACGCTGCATGCTTCCTGAGGCACATGTGCCTTAGGTTTGCCACCACTGCTCTATTGAATTAGAGGAAAAATAAATAAATGAGAAATTATTTTGTCCTCATGAACAAAGGACCACGGCTTCTACATCTGACCAGTTCCCAAGAGGCAGAAGAAACAGTATTTGATTCTCAATTTTTTTTTTTTTTCCGCTGCACCGGGGATTGAACTCAGGCCCTTGCACTGCACTTATTCTACTGAGCCATCTCCCCAGCCCAGAAACAGTATTTGAAATATGACTTTGGCTTATCATGACGGGAACCAAAGATCTATTCCTCCCAGATTCCTTCCTGCATTAAAAGCTGAGAGTGATCACAGGGTAGAAAAGCATCTGGAACTTTAAGACGTGGGAGTGTTTATGAACATCTCTTCCTGTTATACTATCTGTAAAGGATAAATATGTTTTTTTTCCTTTAATTTTATGTATTTAGTACAGGGTCTCACTATGCAGCTCAGACTCACAGTGATCCTTCTGTTTTCAGCCTCCCTAGGGCTGGTAAGATTACAGGCATGTACCACCACACCCGGACTTGGTCACAGCTCAGCACACCCTGGGGGCGCAGGACCAGGATTGAACGTAAAGGATAAATATGTTCACTCTTATTCAAATACATCTGAGGAAAATTAAGGATATTATTTTAAAATCACAAGTGGCTACCTTAATCATTCGAGGGTACCTTTTCCCATGAAGTTATACATGTTGCATATTATCTTTAAATTTCACTTACTAATAAAAATTCTAGAACCTGTCAATATAAGACATAAAAGGGTAGACATGCTTTTAATGTCTTTAATCCTGCCATATATCTGACTTGCCACATGCAAAGCAACCCTGGCTGCAGCTAATGCAGTTACAGGTCTGAGACCACTAACTATAGAATATCATTCTTCTAGTGTGACAAATGACAGGAGTTTGTATCTACAATTTCCCAGAATCTGTTTAAGTGGCTTGATTACCAGGTAACAGACCATTTAAATAAATTACTGTGTTTTCTTGGACTCAGACACAGAGTCTGCATTTAAATTCTTCATCTAATTTAAATACTATAAATAAATAGCATATATATACATTTACTATTTTTTTCTTTGTGGTGCCAGCCCCTTATGCATGCTAGGCAAGCTCTCTATCAAGCTGTAATTCCCTCTCCACATTTGCTTTTGTTGTTCTGATTGTTTTTTAAGATAGGGCCTTACTGTATAGACCAGATTGGCCTTGAACTCAGGATCTTCCTGCTTCAGCCTCCTGAGTTTTCAGATTACAGACATGAGCTACCACATCTGGCCCGCACTTGCTTTTTAAAGTCCATTTACTAATTCTGATATGCGAAAAACATCACAGCCCTGTTAGCTCTAATTCTTAAAATTAATATATAATTCAATATAATCTTTTAAAAAATAATTGTAGACAATAACCACTAAAGTATAAGACTTCATTCCTTTATCGACCCAAACCTAACCAATGAACAATACAATCCTTCTTGCTTAACTGCATTCTGTTAAACATTTTAAGCTTTAAAGGGATATTTGAGTGAATCAGTCGTTTGTGAAATTCCAATTCACAAACGAAGGATTTGAGGCACAGGGAGGTCAATGTCATGTTGAGGTACCTAGAGAGAGGCAGAGTCCCCTGCCCATCAAGCGGGCTGAGCCCTGAGGAAAGAGGCGCACCTCAGAGGAACACAGAGGTGAGTTCTTCCACATTTCATTTCTCAGGCTGATACACGGGCTTCCACTCTAGGGCTCGTGCCCTTACAAAGCATTCATTACAGCACATTCTTTGAAAGGACCATGTAGCTCCAAACGGATCAGTATGTACACTGGAGAAAAAGCAGCAGCATTATCAGGGTTCTCATGCAAACTGAGGTCTCTGCAATCAGAGCTACTTTATAGCCATTCAGCATCATGTATCTTCTTCTAGTCATTAAATACTACACACCTTTTACATAGCTTACTGTAAACTGTAGGCAAATCATGAAGTTTGTGCTCTAACTTTTTACTTAGCAAAAATGTTTTTCCCTTGTGTCATTTAAAAGCATAGGTTTTTAGAACACATAAAAATAGCCAAGTATTTTTCTCCTACAAATATTATCATAAGTGCCTTGCCATTCCAACTTCTTTTTAATGTCAACTAATGCATTTAAAATATTTTATTATCGCTTGTTTCACAGGATAAGATCATATCAAATATTTACAGAAATCAATCACTTCCCTACCAAACATCTAAATTGAATCAGGCTACTATCAGAAAGCAATCTCTTGCATTATATATAGAAGCAAAAGCAAGAATGAGTTAGCAGCCTATGGTACAAGGCAGAAAGTGATTTTGCTTGTGTCATATAGAAGTTTTATTAGATGATAACTTCAAAGAATATCAAATATTCCTGATGCTTAAAATTTTCAAACTCAGAATTGTGTTGGTTAATAGGTCCTAATATACAGGTAAGTATATTTACTGTAATTAGCTTTTTATTTTTGCAACATTTTATTACTAATTTCCATAGGCAGAGAAGTCTCAGAATCAGATACACATCTGATTGCATATAGAATTAAAAACTCTAGAACTACCAAGTGGCCAGAGAGAACAATAAAAAAAAAAACATGTTTGTCCTGTTTGCTTTCAGTGGATTATCCATCTGAGGGTTTTTTTTTTTTTAATAGTCTGTGCTGAACATTTCCTTTTCACAAATCAAAATACCCTCAAAAGAAGAGAAGCTTGAAATTTTAGAAACAGTAATGTTAGAAGTACATTTGGGGCTTGCTTTTTAGGATATTTTCCAACACAGCGCCATCAAATACCCCATTCTTCTCCTGCCTGTGAGCCAAAAGACTTTGGAGAAAGTATCAGAGACTCCGTGTCATGTGCGGGAGGTGGAGTTCAAAGTCTTTCTGTATCATCTCCAAAGACATCTTGGGCAGGCAAGTGCAAGAAAATTGAGTGTGGCCCTTATGTAGACTCACCTAGACTAGGTGAAACAGAAGAAGCTTGTTTCATTGGTAACTGTTACACAAAGTTCTTTTGTCATTGGTCATTGTCGTCGTAGTCGTTTTCTCCTCCTCCTCCTCCTCTTCCTCCTCCTCCTCCTCTTCCTTCTTCTTCTTTTTCTCTTTTTTTGTGGCACAGGGGATTGAACCCTCAGAGCTACTTTCCCGCCTTTGGTATTCTTTGAGACAATCTTGGTTTGATCGGCTTAAGATCTTGTAGACCTTATTTACCTTTTTACAGTGAAGAGGGATAGAACCTAGGGCCTTGGGTAGAGTAAGCAAGCACCTTACCACAGAGCCACACCCAAGCCCCATTTTTGTGGGCTTTGAAAAAGTATGATCCCAGACACATGCAAACAGATCCCAAGTTTTCCTGTTTGAAACTCTGCAGTCTGTATGCTGAAGAGGAGTGGGATTGGGCAAAGCAAGTGGCCTTTAGGACTGGGTATTCGGACAGCAACCTTACACTATTTACTTCTGGCCCTCCACTTTCCAAGGTGCCCTGGTGAAAGATTACCAATTCCCTCTACTTAGGCCCTTCCCCACTTCTGGGGTAAAAAAAGAATAAAAAGGCCCTTCCTCAAAAACTCAGCCAAATCTAGGTCTCTTTTGTTCTGAATTCCCTTTAGAAAGTTTATTTCTCAGCCTCACTTCCCCAGGAATGTGGCAGAGCCCTCTCTGGACCCCAGGTGGGAGGTGGCAGTACTGCTTAGGTAAATGGGATCCAGTGTCTTCCACATTAGTCATTGATCAGGGCCACTTCTGTCATCCACACCGGTAGTTATGCTACAACCTTAAAATTCAATCTATACTTAAGAATATAGAATTTTAAAATAGATGCCAATGTATATTTAGTAACCTGAGTTCTATGTTTGGCTCAATGGCATATATAAATCTGTGACCCAATGTCCTTTTTTTTTAAATGGCTTTGACAGTAATGTGATTTTTTTTTCTTTCAGAAAATTATCATTTTCTAAAACAGGTTCTTAAATTCCAAGTTAAAACTTACAAATTCTTACCCAGTCTAAGAGCTGGTTGGCCGAAAACCTCTGTAGGCCAGTAATGCCACATTACCCTCTTTGGGCAGGGTAGGGGTCAGGGAGCTGTGCAGCTCCCTCCAAAGCCAGCTCTCCTATTGGTCAGCAATCAAATTCTGGGGATAGATAGGATTAAGTACCCTAAAGAGGATTCCCCAGCCCTCCCTCAAAGGAGGATCAAACACTTTGATCTAGTTGTGGAATGAAAACAAGCCCCTGCGGAAGGGGAAAGTGCCTGTTCCCACAGCATGTGGCTCTCTGCAAAGCCTCTTGACCCTTCTTTTCCCCATCCTGGGCTGGCTAAGAGGGCCCTTTTCCACAGGCCAAGAGTGTGCTGGGGATAGAATTCTGCTACAGGGGTTCAACCACCTTCTCTGGTTTCCTAAATAGGGTCAGACCCTACACAGCAGTGGGAGGTCCCAACCCCAAACCTCTCTGTAGCTGCTTTTGGTGACTAGTGGATAAACTCGGCTAAGAAGCACCACAGTGCATCACATGGAAAACACATTATATGAACTTGTATTTGCACACTCTCCTAAGCGTAGGCTCCACAGGATTAAAGTAATAAAAACTGCTTATATCTTACTGAAATTTGTTTCTTGTGTGTGTGTGGGGAAACCAACTACCTACACAGAGCAAAGCCATGTTGCCCTCCAGGTTTCCTCCCATCTCACCCACTTCCAAACCTCACATGAAGATAGACAGCGAGGGACATTGGCAGGGTTGGGGACAACAAATTTGGACTCCTTGTAACGATGCCCTAATAACACGACGAAATCTGGGGTCACTGTGGGCCATTTTCTATTAATAGGGAATAAAGCTCCGGCAGACATTAGCTGTAATGCCCTGATGGGCCAGGGAAAGTTAACTCTTCCCGGACCAGTAAGAGAAAAGCGCTGCCGTACCCAGGCAGGTGTGCATGAAATTAGCGGGTACCTACAACACACACTGTTTAGCGTTGCTCCCCTGACAGCTCACAACTCGAGCCCATCCCGAGCCTTGTTTCTGCGGAGGGAGCAGTGGCGGTGAGGGATCAGCAGGTGTGGTCAGCTCAGCTTTGCCACGCACAAGGCTAGAGCCACAGCCGCCAGCAGCACCGCGCTGAAAACCGTGGCAGCCAGGGCCTTGCTGAGGTCGCAGGGCCCTGTGCGCTCTGGCACAGACACGGCTGAAGAGGCGCCGGCGCTGGCACTGGACAGGAGTTCGGCGCCAGCCGTCTGCCGGGCCTGCACTGTCCAGCGGGGCACGTTGACCTTCATTTCCATTTCGTTGATCATCTTGCCCACCTGAAGGACCTCTTGCTCCAACTCCTGCAGATCCGCGCGGTCGAAATCACGCTCCGCCTCGTGCCGCAGACTGCGAGCGCTCAGGGCGCGGGCCGCCACGCCCGAGCAGCTGCCCGCCACCCCGGTGCGCACTAGGGGCCGCCGGGGCGCGTGCAGCGGGAACGCGGCGCCCAGCGCCAATGCGCGCTGCATGTCGGCTTCCAGCAGATCCAAGCAGCCGGAAAAGGCCACCCAAAGGCGCTCGAACTCGGCGCGCTCCTCGGTGGTCAGACCCTTGTCGCGCAGCGCGACCGTCAGCCGGGCGCCGGTGGTCACAGCCAACTCCAGCGCCCTTTGGCGCGTCTTCTGCAGCTCCTCCCGAAGGTTTTGCGAGTCGGCCGAGCCGCCGACGGTCAGCACCAAGTGGTGGTAGCACGCGGTCGTCTTGTTGAACGCGTCCAGCAGCGCCTTGCTTTCCTCCCTGGCCATGGCGGTGCGCTCCCGCGCCCTCTCCGCCCTCAGCGCGGCAGGACGCGACCGGTGCCGAGGCCAGCGCCGGGCTGCGCGTCCCCAACGCTCCGCATGGCCGGTGACTCGCTCGGTGTTGAGGCTGCCGTCGACCGAGCCAGCGCGGGATCCGCCGCGAGCGCCTCGAGGGAGTCGCCTTAGCTGGCGCCCATCGGCTCGCCCATTCTCCCAGATGCGCTTCGGTCACAGGCCGCCTCTCCGCGCGACTCTGGCCTCCACCATGGCTCCCTGCCAAGCCCGGGCTGTGGACCCCATCCTCCTCGGGTGCCAACCCTAGGGCCAGCAGCTGCGCGCTCCGCCTTAGCCGCGGCCAAGGGCAGCCGGGGCCGGTTTCTAAGGACCCGCCCACTCCTGCCAGTCAAGCTGGGCACTTCCAGCGCCCCCTACACACCCGGACCGGGGTGGGCGTGGCCCTGCCATGGAGGTCACGTGAGTCTCCTATCTCTCCTACACCTGCACCCTATACAGTTCTGTCAGCAGATTCAATTTTTCCTTTATTTGGAAGGAGTCGAATACTGGGACCTTACATCTCCAGCCCTTTTTTTCAAATTTGAGACAGAGTGTAGCTAAATTGCCCACGTGGGACTGCAGTTGTTGACCCTCCCGCCTCAGCCTCCCTTGGTACTGGCATTACTGGTGTGTGCCACCACCCTCTACAACTTTTCAGGATTTCTTAGATAAGAAAACTGAGGCCCTGGTACCTAGCTCGCACACAGTCCACGAAAGTGAGAGGACCAGAACCCAGGAACAATGGCAGTAACAGAGTGGCGCGTCTCATAGGGCCAAGCGCTTCTGTTTTGTAAAGCGTGCAGGGAAGAAGGTTCTACGGAGCCGACAGTTTCCGGGTGGGGTTCTTCTTCCCCATAGCTGTCCTGCCCGCTTTTAACCTGTGAGCCGGGACCCCACCCCTACTGTCAGAACGACCCTCGGCCCCACCTCCTCCCATTCTGGGCACGCGCAGTCCGTGGCTTTGGGCGGGTCTAAAAAGAGTAGGAAGCGAAGCGCATCGACTGAGTCCCACCCGCGGTTGGGCCGACACAATGATTGCTCTGCTTGCACGTCACTCTGCATAAGAACTGGCGCTCATTGGGCTGACCTGAGCTTGGCTCCGCCCAACGGTAAGGGGGGGTGGGCCGCAATGCTGAGCGGCCGAGAGGGAGCGGTGGGCGCCAAGGTCTCCGCTGAGGCCCCGCGCGGTGCCGCCGCACCCTAGAGATGGGTAGTGGAAGTATGTAGCTCTTAAGTAAGTAGACTGTTTCCTCCGGTGCCTCACTTCTTTCGGGACTGCTGAGCCCGGAGACCAGGCGGAGCCCGGGAGCGGGCGGGAGAGGAACGCCTTTTTCTTGTAACCAGAGCCCGGGACTGGGCTGCTGGGCCCGGGCCCCTCGCCGGCGGGGTAGTCTCGTCCTCATCCGGGCGCACTCTGATCCCTGAGCCCTCGAGTCCAGAGGAAAGCGGGGAGCTGCGTAAAGAATGCTCTTTTTGACCTGGGCGACTCCATGATAGGCCCGCGTTCCGAGAGTCCGGGAACTCAGACTTGGGGGTAGTGTATGTATGTCGCGGGGTGGGGGGGGGTAGGGGGTTGCTCCGGCACGGAGTCCCCTGCGCGGTTTCCAGGCGCCTGCAGTGGCGGGGCTGATGGTGGGGGGTGGAGGCCGAGTTGTGTGCAAACCGGAGGTCCACCGGGAGGATGCGGGCAGATGGGGAATCCCTGCTTTGCTGCTTGCCTGCCTTTTATGGGGCGGGGTCTCCTCGTCTCCTGTGTAATGATTACTTGTTGAAAATTCTTGGGCACCAAAGGATTCTCGGAACTCTGAGTCTGTTAAGTTTCTTCGAAAAAAAAAAAGACTGTCCAGCGGTGCACGAGCCAGGCCCTAACCTCTGGCTGCCTCTGGCGGGGCAGGGGACTCAGGCACCCTCGGGCTGTGCTAGGTGGCAGAAGCAAGTCGGACATCTTCATGAAGGATTTCAGACATTGGGGAGCAAGGGGTGGCAAGAATAGAGGGAGTATTAGGGTGCACGTGAGCTGGAATTTTCCAAGTTTAGGTTTCACAGAGAGAAAGAAGGCCCTGTTACAATTAAACAGAGACCCGACTGGCCCGAGTATGTGAGCATTTTGAAGTCCTCCATGAAGGACCTGGCACTGAAGCAGCGAAGATCTGCAGTCCTGCGCCCCGGGAATACTGTCATTCAGGGACCTGACCTTTAACCAGTTTAACTGTCCGTTGTAGGCTTTGCCCAAGGTTTTCTGGGCCTTGGTTGGGGCTGGGGAGATGGCTCAGTGGAATAAGTGCTTGGTCATTCTCCGGAGAGAAGGGTCTCAGCTACCTGCAGACCACAGTCTTTATGGGAAATAGAGGTTTTCAGAACAAAATAGATAAAAGGAAGCAGAACTCATCCTTTTAGAGATAGCTGGGGATGATGAGATTACAAAAGTGGACAGAGGCCACAATGTGAGACTTGAAACTCCAACATCAAGTTGAGAGTTTAGTTCATAAGGAGGGAGGCAGACCCACTGTTAGAAGGATCGCTTTGCTCCAGAAGGACAGGTGAAAGTAAAGTCCTAGAGGCAGAGTCCTTAGGTCTTGGAGGAGGTACAGGATATGATAGGAGCACATCCTTCTCACCAGGCCTGGTGACAAGAAAGCACTTGGAGTCCTGAAGTTGGGCAGACTCATTCTTAACCTATACCTTGGGTATGCGCTCCCAGCTTTGACTTATCACCTGAAACCATTCTGTCAGGCAGTATTACTGGCAGAGCAGGCTCTAGGCCCTGGGTTTAAAGTCTTGATTGCTTTCCTGTGCTTGTCCTCATATAGGTGGCTGCTAGGTCTGTGTTACCCATGCATCTGTGCGCCCTTCAGTTTCTGTGGTGTCTGTTCTATTGAGGCTGTCAGTTTGTCAGTTGCCAGCATTAGGCTGATATCTAATGACTGTCCTCCCAGGACACTGAGGAACATGACCACATGATGACAGACAATAGGCTTTTAAAGAATTGAGTCCAGAAAAATAGATACCTGATTTATCCTGTTGATAATACATCCAAAAGACACTAAGAAATGGCTCTTGGAGCTCTTGTCCTTGAGCCTAAGATACTAGCAGAGAGGTGGTTCCACTCAAGACTCGAGGAACAAGGTGGTGAGGTGGCATTCTGAAGGGTGCTTTTGTTCCTCTAAACCATCATACTCCCTCTGTGGTTCCATCAGGCATGGACAATTTTTTCTTTTTCTAACCCTGCACATCCTAGCTGTCATTGTGTTTGGCCAGCTCTCAGTGCCCTTTTTATTTTGGGCTGTTTGCCTTTGTGCCTGATGCTTCATCTACCCAAACATGGATTTCCAGATCCTCTGAGAGATAATCTCTCCCTGGGAGGTTGAGCTTCCTCTTAAAACCCCACTATTATTTTGTGCAAGTGGATGACAGTGCATGCCTATGGTGAGCCAGATATAGAGCTGAAAGGCTTTAAGATAAAGAGATAGGCTAAATGTTACAGGCCAGAAGGACACAAGTGATGATGACAGCATACATTATGTCACCAAGTTGCTTCCATTAGCATTAAAGTTAGAAAAAGAGAACATTTCCCTTTTCCTTTTTGAATCACAAAGCAACTGAAAAATATTGCTTTATCCATTGAAAAGTGTAAGAGGTGTGTGTGTGTGTGTGTGTGTGCGCACATGTGCAAGATCTCACTGTGCAGCTTGGACTTGGACTTGTAGTGATCCTCCTGTTTTTAGCCTCCCCAGGGCTGGGATTACACACGTGCACCTCCACACCTGGACTCAGTCTCCCGTGGCTCAGTGCACCCAAGGGTGGGGCCAGCACGGCATGTAGTGCCAGGAATCGAACCCAGTCCCCTGTGTTTGCCTAAGCAGGCACTTACTGCACTTATTCTCACTGGCCCTGGTTAGGGTCTTAGATTAGGGCTGTGGAAGGGCAGAAGCAACCCCGACAATGGAGACATTTTGGCAAGAGTACATCTCTGGGAACCACAGGCTTCCTTTGTGCTACTTTCTGCTACTTCCTTTGTGCTGCTTTCGGCTGCCTTCTGTCACCAGATGACCCCTGGGTGGTCAGAGTTATCCAGGCTGGCAGGACAGTTGAAGACCACAAGCCATGAGTGTGCACACTGCCTCCTGAAATGCTGTCCTAAGTGGAGGCGCCACATGGCTCTCTTGTGCAAGGGGTAAGGTCAGGTAACTCATGTACAGGGGTATTTGCTATCTTCCACTAACTCACTGGCTTTCTGTAAGTAATCCCATCATGTGAACTCAGGCAAGGTAGGGTTTTAGTTTTCCTTATAGGTGATTGACTGATGGTGGTCCCAGGGATCAAACTCAGTGCTTCTTGCATGCTAGGCATACATTCTACAACTGAGCCCCCCAGACCCTCAAGGCGTTTTATAAGAGAATTCACTCTAGTTTTATAAGGAAAAGTCTGTTTTTAAAATTAAAAAAAAAATTAAAATGGGTATCAGGGACATCTGCAATGAACTTTTAATCTGCCAGGTATGACTGCATGGCAGAAAGAAAGCGAGAGACAAAATGGCAGTACAGCAGGGATCTGGGATGACCAGTTGTTGGCCACAGGAGCTGGGTGTGGTGGCACATGTCTGTAATCCCAGCACTGTAGCACTTGGGAGGCTGTTGGGAGTTCAAGGCCAGCTGGGGCTACAAAGTGAACTTAAGGCTGGCCTGAACTGCGTGAGACCCTGTCTAAAAAAAAAAAAAAAAGAAGAGAAAAACACTAGAACCTCTCATTGATTGATTGAGGAGGGAATTTGAGGAGAGGATTATGGGACGACACAGGATCTTGCCCTGGAGTATCTTTGTCTTCAGTCTTAGTCTTAGTGGGTGGGACAGGATGGCCCACCTCTAATGAGATAGTGGGAAATCTCAAGAGGCTGATACCAATAATCCAAAGCCTCCTTATGCAAATTAACCATTGTGAATTTGTCCCCAATAGGGACTTGCTGTGTAGTCTCAGTCAGCCTTGAATTTAACCAGGTAGTCTGGTTTGGTCTCAAACTCAAGCTCCTCCCTGCCCTAGCCTCTTGAGTGTGGTATTATAGATATGTACCATCATAGCCAGCTTCTTTGCATGTTGTTTTAAAGTAGAAAGCTAGTTCAACCCAAGTAAATTTATCAGGGTATTGAATTATTTTTAAGCATTTATCTATACATATGAATTAATCTGTGGCATTAAGCACTGGCTTGTATGATACCTTTGCTTATTATTCATTCTAGGACAGAAGAATTGAGCATAGCAGTGGGCAGAGAGTTTTTGAATTCCTACTCTTGGGTCATTGACAACCAAGGGGATTTATGTCCCAGAGAAAGTAGGTTACATGGGGCTCAGCAGCATCAGTCCTTGCTAAGAATTTTACACACTTTGTTTGTTGTATTTCAAATGTGCCTTGCATGTTTCATTGTGGTGTTCAGGCCTTTCCTTCCCTGGCTCCTGTACCCCTCTGACTTGCTGAACTTGTTTTTGTTTGTTGTGGTGCTGAGGAATGAACCCAGGGCCTCTTGTATGCAAAGCATGTCGTCTGTCTTTGAGCTATTCCTCTAGTCCTCTGTTTAGATGTCTATGTGTGTATGTTTTTATGTGTGTGTTACTAGGTATTGGACCCAGGGCCTTTGCACTGAGCTATTTTTATTAAAATTAGACATAGGGAATTGTCCAGACTGGCCTTCAACTTGTGATCCTCCTGACTCAGCCTCCAAGCATGCTGGGATTATAGGTATGTGCCGCCATGTCTGGCTATGCTTGGATTCTAATTAAAAAAAAAAAAAAATCCACTTGGGTCTTCTGAGCCTGTAGGGAGCCTGCCTGCTGAACCTTGGGGCCTGCTTTTGTCCATGACTGGCATGCCTCCATCACACCACCCTTCCCCCTTCCCTGCTATTTCCTTCTCTCTCTGGTGCTTACCTCCCATCTGGGAAACCTGCCCTCTTTACCTCTGTCTGGAGAGAGAAGGTTTGGAGTTCTGCCAGCGTCACGTCTGAGGAGCAGGAGTGTTCTTTCCCAGCTTTAATCTAACCATATTGTGCATGTTATTTCTTATGTGATTTTAGTCCAAAACATCTTGAGTGTTGTACTCTGCCATACAGCACTGAGAAGAATATTTCTTGTGATTCTATCATGGCAAACATGTATTATCATGTAGCTCTTTTGGGAACTCATAAAAGGATTATCTGGGCTCTAGTAATAGGTGAATCCTGCAGTTCAAATACCTGAATTATTGCAGAGGTAGTGCTCCCTTTGTCTAGGCAGGGATTATTTGCAGCCATTTTTATGCTCAACTCTTTTTTTCCTAAGAGGATTTATAGGAAGCTCAGTGGTGTCTTTTAGGCAGACCCTAGAGGGTCTTCAGTGGAGACTCTTCTGGCTAGACAGAAGGAATTTGGTATGGGAACTATGTATCACATGGAGTTTTCTGCCCAGGGACCTAAAGTATGGGTCCTGTCTGTGTGTGGCTCTTGAAATAACCCTTTTCCAGGCATGTTTATATGACATGATGAGCTTAGTGGTTAAAGGAATGAGTTTTAGAATTTTTTTTTTTTAAGAATAAATTTTGATGCCCTATAACCTTGAGTCAGCCAGCTAAACCTCAGTTTCTTCATTTGTGATTTGGGGTCAATGATAGCTATTTGGCACTAATATGAGCATTAAATACAATGAGATGTGTAGACATTACATTCCACAGTGCATGGAACAAGGGTGTCCCTCAATACAAGTTGTTTTTATCAATAGCCATAAAAGATAGAATTCATATGGATTTATATACATTTGTGCATACCTCCTAGTGTTTACCAAAGGAAGCATTCTGGGACTATTGTTACATTGTGAGAAAGTGATTTAGTTTTTCATTCAACTGATTGCATCAGGATAAATTTGCATGGTGCTGTTCAATACTTGCTAATGTTCTGTGTTTCAAGGATAGAAGGGCTCAAGCAGATGCTCAGAAACTTCCTCAGGCAGTTGTATAACATTAATTATTTTTACAGTTTTAAGATGATCTTCTAGTTATGGGAAATGATACTGTTTTTCTATTGAGAGTACTCAGGTTTCTTTTTCTAAACAGAGAGCGGAAGTTTAAGGGAACATGTCAAGCGCTAACAACAGAACCATCACATGTAATTGTGCAGGTTCTTCGTTGCTCGGGGGCAGATGCGGGGCCTCAGAGCTCCTTTCCACACCATGTGCCCAGGTGCAGGACTGCACGCTTGGGGAAGATGAGGTGCCTTTTCCTAATTCTCACAAGGACATCAGGTGAGCCAACAGTAACTAGGGGTACATTGGTTTGTAGTATGTCAAATACAGTGATGATGCCACGTAAATTTCCCTGAGAATCCTGCAGGCACGTATTAGTAGTTTCCATGGCATTGCAAAGCTATAGTTCTATAAAGTGTAGGCTGGCCCTGGTCTGCTTAGTGCAGTAGTCATTTATTTTGTTTTATTTTTTTGTGTATGTCGTACAGGCTCTACAGGGCCTCACTACATAGATCGGACTCATAGTGATCCTCCTGTTTTCAGCCTCCCCAGCGCTGGGATTACAGGCAAGCACCACTACACCCAGACTCTGTGGCCAGCTCAGCCTGCCCTGAGGGCTGGCCCGACATGCAGTGCTGGGGATCAAATGGTGTGTGGTCCCTGCACTTGCCTAAGCTTACCTGATAAACAGGCACTTTAGTCTATTGAGCTATCTTGCTGGCCCAACCTTAGAAATTTCTGACCAGCCGAGTGACATAATGAGAGCCTGCCCCCCAAAACAACAAAGATAACACAAAGTAAAATAAATACAGTGAGCGGATGTGGGTAATTATATGTGATATAGATATAATAATATTTGTCACCTACTTCCATGGGGCAGTGCTATTGAAACGGACAAGAGTCCAAAAACAGGCTGCACATATGGAGACTGTGAATGTGACAAAGATAGCCTTATCAGAAGGACTAGAACATTTCAAATAACAACAGTGAAGGACTAGTTTACCATATGGAAAAATAAAGTTAAATCAAAGCATATGCAAAATTAAAATCCAGATGGATTGAAGGCTGAACTATGAAAAACTTTTCAAGATCCCTATGTATTATAGAGCTTTATTTTTAGAAGATATGCATATGGCTTTGAAGTTGGGTGTGGTCTAGGTAGCCTTGCTACATAACAAACCAACTCAGAATAGTGTCTTAACCTGCCCCAGTTCCATGATTTCCCACTGCTAGGTGGGTTGGCTGGGTGGCTTTCTGCTGGTGCCATCCAGGGTGTGTGCCAGCATTCTGCTGGCCGATTCACTGTGCTCTCAGGCCGTTGGAGCCTGTACCCCCCCCCCCCCCGTCCCTCATCACATGGTTTTTCTCCCAGCATGCTGCTCTTGGGGTGCAGAGTAAGAGAGCAGATCAGGTGGCTGATTCGAGCTATCACAGAGAATCATTTCCACCTGCGGGCTGATGGCGGTCACAGTGCTGGCTTAGATTCAAAAGGCAGGGCCACAGACGCTACCTTCTGTTAGGGGAAATGGTGAAGTCACTTGCATGCAAAGAAGCATGCAACAGGACAGGCACAGATTTCCTGAGATCCCCAGAGCCCTGGGCAGAAAGGCAAAGGCTGAAAAATGTGGCTGCGTTAAAATATTTTAAAAATTCATATTTGTGGGGCAGGAGAAGTAGCTCAGCAGCTTAAGCGCCTGCCTGTCAAGTGCAAGATCCTGAGAAGTTTGATCCCAGTACCTGTGCCCTCCCCACAAAAAATCATATTTTTGAAAATACTCATTTAGAGAAATGGAAAGACAAGTCATAGGCCAGGAAAAGAGATTTGTAACATATGCTAGATATACAAAAAACTATATGATGCATGCCTATAATTCCAGCACTGAAAGAAGCTGACCCAGGAGGATCACAAGTTCAAATCCTGTTCAGGATTCAGTCTCTTTCTTTTCTTTCTTTTGTGGTACTGGGTATTGAACTCAGGACCTTGTTCTTGCTAGGCAGGCGCTTAAGCCACTGAGCTTTCTCCCTGTCCCAGGACTTGGTCTTAAAATAAATTTTTTTTAAGGACTGGCCAAATAGCTCAGCAGATTAAAGCACCTGCAAGCAGGTGCAAGGGCTGGGGGTTCAATCCTGGGCCTGCCATGCGGGCCCTGCCCCAGGGGTGTCCTGAGACGGCAATTTAGACTGGGCATGTTGGCACATACCTGTAATCCCAGCTCTTTGGAGGCTGTAAGCAGGCAGATTTCTATGAGTCTGATCTAGTAGTGAGACCCTGAACACCCTGTAGACCCTTCCCTAAAATACTAAACAATAAAATAAATAAAAGGGCTAGGAGCAGCACGTGGTGGTATACACCTGTAATCCCAGTACTGGGGAGGCTGAGGCAGGAGGATTGCCATGAGGTCTAGGTCAGCCTGAGCTTCATAGTGAGATCTAGAAAACTATAAATCACAAGAAAAAGACCAACAATTCAAGGGAAAAGTGGGCAGAAGTCATAAAGCAATTTATACAACATAAAGAAATGATGTTTCACTTCAATTTTTTTCCTCTGGTTATTTTAGAGAAGAACAGTGAGTGTTACTTTTACAGGCTACTGTAAAAAAATACTGTTTTCTTCATAAATTTATTTCTCCTAATTCTGGGGTTTGGGCAGTACACGGTCAAGTTATAGCTGATTCTGTGTCTCATGAGAGCTGCTTCTTAGCTCATAGATGGCTGTCTTTTTTTCTATAACTCCTTTTTTGAAATGTTGACATGTAAACATTTAAACATTTTTATTTTTATGTGTGCATGTTTGCAGTATATAACGATTACAGTCATCATGGGGGACTGATACATGGACATAACACATCTCAATTCTTTTTCTGTCCTCTTCCACTCCTCTGGCAGGAAGAGCCAAGGAGCCCTCTTAGGCCTTCTTGGAAAAAGCACTGCCCCACTCAGAAGGGCACTGCGCCGGTAACCCAGTTGCCACCCGTAGGTTCCACCTTCCAATATTACCACCTTTACAAAGATGGGATTTTTTATTTTTATTTATTTTTTATTTTAAGATATGAAACTTGGGGAAGCACAGACATTCAGACTGTAGCACAGACTGACAAGAAAGTAATCTGATAAAGGGCTGAGGACACGTGTAGCTGTAGTTCAGTGGTAGATCGTTTGCCTAGCAGGTATGAGGTCCTGGGTTCCCTCCCCAGCAAGAGAAAATCAACCAACCAAGCCAGATTTGATGACAAATGTGTTGGTTATGATGTGACCTTAACCTGAGGGAGAGGAATCCTCATACAGTTCCATGGCTGCAGTCACAGACGAATCCCCCCTTGGTGCCTGTCCTGTGTGTTCAGGGGACACATAGAAGGCCACGAGGATGTTCATTGCGCCATTGTGTGTAATACAGAAAAGGTAGGAGCAACTTAAATGCAGAATATGGGATAAACTGTGACACATTTATTTACAAGACTGTTGGATAGCAGAAGCCAGGGACTGAATGTGGGCTTTATGGCTTGGCATGAGTAGAGCTCGAAAGAAACAATGTGAATTGAAAAGGGTATGTTCCAGGATAGTAATAGTGTGGTCTACTTACACAAATGTTGAAACCCATGAAAGATAGTTTTTATTGTTTTGAGATATGTAGGTTTTAGAGGCATAGAAACATGGGTAAGGAAGACATACCTCAACTTTAGGATAATTAATAGTTGTCTCTGAAAGGGGAGGAGAGAATGGGATGGAGGGGTACCTGTCTTCTCTGATGTACTAGATCCAGGCCAGAGGTTCTCTTGAGCCCAGGAGTTGCAGACCAGCCTGGACAAAATAGAAAAAGCCCATCTGAAAGGAAAATGTATACGTATGTATCTTGATAAAGTCATAACTATGGTCATGCAGGATGTGCAAAAAGTAGCTATTTACACTGTGTCACAAGTTGGAGTTGGGCAAGATTGTTTGGGTACAATTTATATATTTTTTTCATTTTTATATATATACACAAAAATTTATAATTTCGTGGGAGGATTGAACCTAGTACTGAAATTTTTAAATTTTGAGAGAGAGAGAGAGAGAGAGAGAGCCTTAGTTACTTTTCCTTGTCACTGGGACACTACCTGATACCCACAGTATACAGGAGGCAACATTTATTTTGGCTCACAACTTTAGTCCACTGTTGACTCAAGGCAGGAGGAACCTGGGCAGAGGAGAGCCTTTCATCTCTTGACACCAGGAAGCAGAGGAAGTCAAGCATGGGAGGGACTAGGGAGAGAGGTGTAGCCTCCCACTTCATGTCCATAGTGACCCACCTCCTCTGACCAGGCCCACTCCCTCAAGGCAGTTTGGCTATAGCTGCTATTGCCTAAGGTCCCAAGTAGGAGTTCATGAGGTCTAGGGATCTACCTATAAACCATAAGAGAAGGTCTCCTTGGGTCACTGTGTTGCCCAGCTGAGCTAGAATCCTTCTGCCTCAGCCACCCAGGGTGCTGGGATTACAGATGTGGACACAGTTGATACATTTAAACAGTAAGTAGGCCATCTGGGCATTTATAGATTGCATATGATATTTCTGATTAAGTGTTCACTGTATGACAGAGAATAGTACATGTTAAGGATGCTGTTTAGAAATGACCAGAAGGCTTTCACACATTACGTAGCCTGAATGTAGTCACTCATTGCTTTTTCCTCCCTTGTCCCAGGAAACTCCTTTTGATCTCGCTGAAGTCCATATGGCTCTGTATGATGAAGATCTCCTGAACAATCCTTTCTATCTGGCCCTGCAGAAGTGGCGTCCTGACTTGTGTAGCAAGGTGGCCGAAATCCACGGCATTGTAAGTACATCGATCCTGAGGGTTGTTGTACTATGTGGCTAACACCAGAAATGTGGGCGACTGAGGTGACATTTAGAGGAAATCAGTTACAGTCCCATGTGGGAATGAGCACCCAGAGACTGCATGACCTGCTTCCTCCAACTCTGAACTCTGTGCCCCAGATAGCACCCCGGTCTCCTGTTCTTGTCTCTGACTCTTACTTCCCTCCTGACCAGGAGAGCTATTCTAGAGCTTTACACACCCTCACTTGTGAGCTGGGCCTCTACTCCTACAGAAGAAGGAGACTGGTGAAGATGTGCACAGCCTCGAAAGGTGTTTCCTAAAGGGCTAGAACTAGTTGTCAGGCCGAGCCCCTAGTACAGAGAGGGAAGGCGGGCCCATGCTGTGGGTCTTTCCAGTCCTCAAGTCAGTGACACTGGTGGGTATCTGTACGTGGCATTTCAGGACACCGCTGAGTGTTTTTCACTGTGACCTCCACTTGTCTGTCCTCTCTTTGTGTTGTTCCCTTGTCATACCATAGTGTAGGTCGACTTCAACCCCGTGATGTGACTTTGCTCAGATAAGTCATCCATCTGGGGTTTTGAGTCAGTAGAGTGTGGCTTAACCCCATATGGCCTCAGGTACTTGGCTGTCTCTTTGACAAACCCGAACTAACTTTCCCCCTACTTCTGCCTTCGGAAGCCTGGTTTCTTGAATTCACTTCTGGTTTTTATGAGTAGTTTTGCGATTCATTAGCTTTCACTAGAATTTTTTACTTTGGACTTTGGAGGCTTCAAAAAATTCACTTAAAAAAATAAGAGAATATAACCTGGTGTGTCTGGCACACACCTGTAATCCCAGCCCTTGAGAGGCTGAAGCAGGAGGATTTCTACGAGTTCGAGACCATCCTGAACTACTATATAGTAAGGGTTTTTTTCAAGAATTAGACAAAAAAAAGCTTTATCCTGAGAAGAAAATAAAAGTCTCGTGTAGCTCACCAGATTGATTATAGGCTGTTCGCTTCACAGTGGTTATGAGATGTCATTATATGCAAGGCACTATGTTTGCTACTAGGAGTCGAGTCGGAAAATGGGAACACACTTCATCCTCTTTGTTGTCCCGAAGCTTAACTCCTAGTGTGAGAAACTGTCACATCTTGGGCACACACATACTAATGACAGTGGTAGGGACACAGAGAAAGATTACCAGACACAGTCCTGTAATGGAGGAGGGTGGCCTGAGGACCAAGCTTGCCCCTGTACCCTGTCACCTGTGTGATGGGGACACTGGTGCTCAGTTGTGTCCCAGCCACGTTTGCCGGTTGAATGAGAAAGTAGAATGTTTTGATCCTCTGCAGCAGGGCAGTCATTCTGTCTCATTCCTGAAACATGTGCGTGGCCTCAGCAGGTGAGTGTGGAATCGCTGTCCTTGGAGTTGGCCATGGGACAAGCGTGCCCACCATAGACTCCTCTGCAGGGGTCAGGATCCTTGCCGAGTACTAAAACAGTGTGCACCTACAGCTCGGTCGCCCCCTGTTCTCCCTGCCCCTGCACGGGTGGGCCGCCCTGTTTTCTGCTCACCTGCAGGTGCCTGGATGTGGCAGCTGAGGGGGCAGCCTGATGTCCCCCTACTCTGCCCCAGCTACTCCTCGAGTTGACTTCCTCCCAGGACTTCTTTCTGGAGCACGGTGTGGCCTTCCTGCCATCAGCTGCCCTCTTTGATGGCACAGTGAAACTAATCATAGGCTTGCTGGCACCCCACACCTGGCTAATTATGCACCTGCAGCCTCCTCACAGGGGGTTGGGTGGGCTTGCATCCCTGCGGCTCTTATCCGTGGGCTGCTAAGAGAAAGGCCTTTAGGTTTCCCAGGTGTACTGGGGTTGGTCCACTTACTCATGGAAAATAAAATTACAAAAAGGGATGAAGTTTGATCTTTTTATTGATGTCCTTTGATTCTAGGTTAAGTAGACTTGGGGCTGGCCTGGGAACCTAGCAGCAGTCATTCACGTTCCCAGGAATTAACTTTCAAGCTGCAGCCCAGCTAAGGGTGCTGAGGTCCATGTTCCAAGTCTAAAGATTGATTCAGGCTAGAGTCCTCTGAGAAACATAGCATCTGCTCTGTTCCAGGCTCAGGCCTGGCTTTCCAGGGCTACATGCCCGAATGGAGAAGATGGGAGGCCTTCTAGGAATTCTAGAATCAGCCCCTGTGGCAGGAAGGATGAGGACAGGACAGAAGGCATTGGTGGCAGCTGTGGAGCGCTCAGCCCAGCCTGGATGGGGCTAGGAGACTACATTGGAGTATGTGCCGTAGTGCAGATTCTTGCTGTATATTTTTACTTCCCTCCATTTAACTTCTGTTATTTAAGCAGTTCCCTACAGAGGGGCTAGAACCTATTATTGCTAAGCTTTGAAATGAGTAGGTCCCCAATTCGGCCTGTGTGGTAACACTACACTTTTGGGTGAGCTCTGCGGCTCCCTCTCAGGAGAGCGCCTAGCCTCCCTGGGGACCTCCTTGGCTGTCCTGCAGCTGGCTGCAGGTGGCTTTGCACTCCTGTGTCAGCAGTGAGGGACAGGCAGGCCACCATTGCAGGGAGAAGTTTTACCAGGCCAGGTCTCTTTATTAGAATGGGAGGAACTGAGCTGCTTTCACAGGACTAGAAAACTGTGCATGAGGTGGAGGGGCGGGAGGGACGCCTGTGAAGTGGGAGGGTCCCTGTTTACCAAGCACGTGTGGACTGGGCCTCTGCTGCACAGCATGACACACAGCGTGACACCCAGCGTGCTTGGCCACGGGCTACAGTTCTGCTGGCGCTGCACAAGATCTGTTTACACTGGGAAGGTGGAAAGAGTATGTGGCAGTTAGTAAACAGGATATAATTGCAGTGGGGGCAAAGTTCTCTGAGCATGTCGAAGTTCCTGGTTTTGCAGAGGCCAGAGGAAGGCCTCCAGTGTGGCCCTTCCTGGTGTGGGACGGACCACGGACCTTGTGGGTCTTTTGTCCAGGCAGTCAGCGTGGGGCATCTCTGAGCCTCTGAGCAGGGGCTCACCTATCCTGTCTCCTCTGTCTTTTTTTGTTGTATGCTCAGTGTGAACTGCACCTTTTGTGTGACTTGATGCTACCTGGGGGCCTGCCTTTATTTTAATTTTAATTTGCTAGTAAAATTTCAAATTATCATGTTTAACTTGATCTTTTTATTTTTTAAAATTTATTTTATT